GCTATGAAGTTTTGAAATTATAGTTTATATATATTTTCCAATAAAATAATGCTAAGTGAATGCTTTTATGTTTTGGTATACGATATTAATAAAACTATTACAGTAAATAGGAAATACATTGTAAAATAAGTTAAAAACAATCTATATTCGCATAAAACAAAAAATACAAAATAATTACTCTCGATCAATTTGAAGTTTATTTTATTACACTTTTAAAACAAACGCTACAATAAAATATACATAATATAAATGAAAGTATATTAAAATTTAAAAAACATATAATTTATATTTATTAATCAATCATAAAAAAATACATTTTAAACATTAAATCAAACATAAAATGTAGCAGCACGCTCAAATATTATTTTAACCTCCATGCTTTTTTGTTTGAGACTTTTTAGTAGGTTTTGTTTGTTTAGATTTTGACTTGGTTTCCGGTTCACAAATGTACCTTCTCACACTAGTCCCTTTATCCTGGACACACACCTGGCCATCATCACAATTACCACTATCATAACATTCTTGACCTTCCATGTAAGCTAGTACATTGAATGACCTGGTTAAATCCATAGCCAACATTATGACCACCAATATAGCTATGATAAAGCGCTTATTAGACATTTTTGTATAGACTTTAATATATTTTTTTAATGAAACTAGAAATAAGATAAAATTAATTTTATTTTATACCATATGGTTAATTTATCGCCATAAACAGTAATTATGTTGTGGACATGTAATGTTATTTAACCAGTAGTTATGTTATATAATTTAATAAATAACTTAAAATACTTAAGAGTCTTTTAAATAAAAGTATAAATGAAGCCAAAATGCATAAAAATTTTATGATTTATTTTATAAAATTTTAAAATAAAATTAATATTGAATATTAACTTAAAATAAAATTATTTTTGAAAAACTCACTTAAGTAAATGAGTAAAATTAATAACAATTTTTCAGTTATTTATTATAATTAATAATTTATGAGCTTTAACAATTTTAATAAACACATAGAAATATGTTATAACTTAAAATATTTTATATAAAATTAATAACAAGATGATTAATAATAGTAGTATTAAGTTTAAATATGAATTTATATTTTTGTCGATATTAGAACTTAATATACAGTATATAACTTATAAATAAATTTTAAAATATTTATTCTAGTAACTGGGTAGAATTTTAATATTAATTTTACTTTACATTTTTAATATTTAAAATTTACAATAAAACAATATATTAAATATTAGTATTATATATTGATACTACCCTAACGTGTGCTATTATGTAAGCCCCTCCCAATGTTTGATCCCATTGGTTAAACTATGAGTTACTCTTATTATATAACTGTGTGTAATGCATGTCTAGGGATCTTAGTTTTTAGTTTAGACCATGCATATTTATTAATGACATAATTAAGTTTATGCACATACAAATTAAACTAGCATGGCCAACTTTCCGTATCGAGAAATTCCTTTTAAGTGTTGACTCTATTCTGGCTGTAATTAAGGCATAATATTAGACTACAGTATGACACTATACGGCATGCCTGTCCAGAATTTTTAAAAACCATTAAATAGTGATGTATAATATTGATACTACCCTAACGTGTGCTATTATGTAAGCCCCTCCCAATGTTTGATCCCATTGGTTAAACTATGAGTTACTCTTATTATATAACTGTGTGTAATGCATGTCTAGGGATCTTAGTTTTTAGTTTTGAGTTTGGAGTGCTTTTTGGTGCTTTAAACTTATTTTGTATTACCTTATCTTAAACTTATTTCAATAAATACGATTATGTGCCAAACCATCGGCTAATTTAATCCCCGTCGGCTCTCGGCCATATCATTTGGGGGCTCGTCCGGGATGAGATACGTTGATCTCTAGTGTCGTAAGTATAGGTCGTCTGCAAATCCAGCGTAAGAATAGCCATCAGCTTAAGAGTTGGTCAGCAAATTCAACTCCGCCGACAGTTGGACTCCTTTAAGCGTATGCCCTACCTTATGATTCAGGTATTTATTCCAGTTGGCCCTCTCTGATGCCCACAGCTAAGTTTGGTCACCAATGCTAACTACACATCGAGTGTCGGGAAGTCAGTTAGCAGCTAATCATCGCTTGGAAGACATTCAGACCCTTGAGGCTAGTGACTGACGTGCGTTAAAGGTGCCCTTTTATAGCGCTTTGTCGACCGAGTCATCACTGCTCACTGACTCCCAACGCGGATGACTTCTGGTTGTTGGCGAAACCGTACCAGTAGACGACAAAAGGAGTGACGGTCTCATCGAAGACACCCATTGATTGGATCCGAAGAGCTGAGGATTTCTCGTGTTTATTGAAGACAACTAACGGTCAGATAAAACCCCTTATTCCGAGTCAAATCTTAAACATATACTTATACTATTGTTAAGCCAGCGTTTATATAAACAATAGTATACACCTTAAGTAAAAGCGAAGCCGCTCTTGTTGGCCAAATGGCTGACAATAGGCAGTTAGTCGCTGACATTCGGCGCGAAGTCGGTGATGTCCTCTCGAGTCAGATAAGTAATCTCAAACTCGATCGCTACTCCGGCGAAATTAGTCGTAAATGTGTTGAATGGTTGAATGAGTTTGAAGAGCAAACCCGACTCAAAGGTTGGACAGACGCCAATCGAGTCGACCGATTCGGTGCTTCCCTTGAAAAGGATGCCCGAAATTGGCACAAACTCTATATTCAAAAAGCTGATCCCCCTATCGCTAGCTGGGATACACTTAAAAGACTTTTCACGACATATCATCTCCCAAAAGACAACACTACTTGTGTTAAGGAAGAGATGGAGAGTCGTAAGCAAAGGCCATTTGAGGATGTGATTAAATACATCACTCATAAAACGCTTTTATGCGATGAGGTAAACCCTGATATGCTTTTTGAAGAACAAAAAGAGTATATAATTAAGGGATTACTACCCAAAATAAAGTCTTCTATCAAAACACTTGACTGTTCAAATATGGATAGACTAATCCAACATGCAAAGAACATAGAAGACGGCTTGCGCGATATACCGTCCGATGATATTAATTCTGATATCAATGCAAGGGTGACCAAAACTGAAACTGCTGTAAATCATTTGTGTGATACTTTCACAAAATATTTGAATAAACTCTCTGAAACTGAGAAGAAAACAGACCAAAAGTCTCGCGAAAGATCTCGTGATAGGTATGCAAACAATTCCAACAGCGGTTACAGCCCTGACAGACGGTATAATAGAGACTTTTCTCGAAATCGTGAAAACTCAAGAGATAGGTCTTATCAAAGAAATGATTATAATCGTGAGCGCTCTGGTAGAGATCAAAGCCGAGATCGCAACGATAATAGATTCCGCAGTTATTCCTATGACAATAATTATCGCAGAGATGATTTTAATCGCAGCCGCGATTACTCTCGAGACCGAAATCGCGACCGCAGTCGTGACAGGAACTATGGTTTTCAGCAAAGAGAACAATTAAACAGTCGGTCAGATCAGCAAGAAGACCATAGTCGAGAAAAGAATGTTTCTTTTAATAAACCTAATGAAAGGGTGAATCTGAATAATGAGCCCTATTGCGGTAAATGTGGAAAAAGTGGTCATAAATCCGAGTTTTGTCCTAAAAGCCTGTGTGCAAAAACTCCTCCGATTAAACGCAAATCTTACCGAGTGTCCCAAGAATCCATATTTTCTGAAGGAGATGACGAACTCATCTATAAGTGTGTTATCATAAATGGTAGGGAAGTTCCAGCGTTAATGGATAGCGGTTCATGCGTTAGCCTAATTGATAAGAAGAAAGCCATTAAATTGGGATTAAGCATTGATTCACATGACGGCAAGTCTGTGAAAGCAGTTAACGGTTCTCAAGTGCCCATTAAGGGACAAACTAATGCAAAAATTATGATAATGATTGACGGAATTGAAAAGTCTGTCATAATTACTCTCAGAGTTATTGATTCTTTTGATTTTGATCTACTGTTAGGTTTGGATTTCAGTCGTAAAGCTGGAATAATAATTGACTGTAGCTCTGATAAAATTATGTTTTCCAATGATAGTGGTTTAATCGCAAACAAATGCGTATGCAAAGGTCGTTGCAGTTGTTTTGCAAACACAGTGCATTTAGTAAAAGACATTAGCCTAAAACCTAAAGAGAAATACTATGTAAAGGTCCGCTCGAATAAATTAAATGTCACAAAGAACTTTACAGCAACTGTTAGATCAGACCCACTAGTCTTTTCAAAAACAAAAATGTACGTAAAGGAAACAGATGTAGACTTTGTTAACAGCACAGCATTCTTAGCCTTAAGAAACTGCAGTCATAAAACCACAGACCTGCATTCAGGTACCGTTATCGCTAATTACAAGCCCTTAAGGCAATCGCCTTTGTCAGTACACACAAACAAAATTAGTAATGCATTTTACGTAAAATCAGATATTGAGTCTGAATATAGACCAGAGCCAACAGTCACAGAATTGTTGTATAACATCAGACAAAAAGCGAGGGTTATGGGCCATAAACTTAATGGTCTAAACTTTAAAGAATTTTTATGTGCTTTCTGTACGTCAATGGACCACACAAACAATGAGTGCCCAAATCGCCACATCTGGTACAGAAACCATTACTTTAGATCTCGTATTGATACCAAACTCTCTGAACTTAAATCAATTATTGACAATCGCCTAACAACTGTACCCAGACAGTCAGTTCTTACGTTGGCATCTATCAATGGCCTAAAAAGACAAAACTTTTTTGAGTCGTTTGAAGGTCCAATCAATTACGATAATAGCCTTAAGCCCGAATTCATTGCACAATTAGAAACATTGTTATCTGAATTCAAAGATTGTTTTGCTTTTGACTCAACAAAGATCGGGAAATGCAGTGTATTAGAGTTTACTGTAGACACTGGTGATGCAAAACCCATTTGTCGTCCACCATATAAATATAGTTCTACACAGCGCGCGGAGATAAATAGACAGATTGATAAGTGGCTAGATATGGGAATAATTGAACCTGCATTCAGTGCATGGGGTCAACCTGTAGTTCTAGTAAATAAGAAATCATTAGATAGTGAGGGCAAACCTGAAATTAGAATTTGCGCTGATTTACGAGCAGTAAATAATGTTACCAAAAGTGATGTATATCCATTGCCGTCCATTCGAGATATTTTGGACAGCCTTAACGGTTCAATATATTTCACAACTATAGACACAAACTCGGGCTATTTTCAGTGTTCTGTCGCTGAACTCTCTATATCTATCTATCTATCTATCTATCTCTCTCTCTCTCTCGCTTTGGTGCCCCTTCTTTCTATCTCTCTCTCCCTCCCTCCCCCTCTCTCCTACCTGTCCTACCTCGCTCTCTTGATCTCTCTCCCCTCTCTCTCCCTCCCTCTCCACCATAACCTCGCCTCTCCTTTGCTATTGAATACAATTTTTGCATTTTTTACGAATAATCATTTTTCTTGACTAACCTTTATTTGTATTTATATTATATTAATATTAAGTGGAATTCAAAGAATTGTTTGTCTTTAGTCTTAGTCTTATACTTAAAGTTTGTTTTTCTATGAATTTCATAGTTTTCTATTCCATATAATATTAACACTTATCGTAAAGTTCTTTGTTCTCCTTTCTATGCTTTGATAAACAGTATAGCATTCAATCAAAAGTGATATTTTCTTTTTAGACAAACACAACACAACATTACGAAACACTTTTTTGAACTCAAATCCTCTATAAGTTTATGCACTTTATTTGACTTCAATTCAACCCAAATATGCTTTTGAATAAATACTTAAATCAAAATATATTTGCAACCAAATTGAAAAACTTTTCCTAAAAATCAATTTTTATTTCCAAATAAATTCTTGAACTAAAGTTTTTTGAGTAGAAAGTCATAAAAAAGCGAAAATGCGAATAAAACCTATTGATTTACAAATTAGCGAATAAATGTATTTTTAATTATGAACTCAAAACTATTATAACTATTATATACAAACATTTTCTTTAGTCGAAAGACTGAGAAAATTGTTTTCAACTTTTCATTCATTCAATTTTAAGGCACAAATCGATACTAAATTTTATTTATTAGCGATTAGTTGGAAACTTATTGAAATTTAATGACAGTTCACATCAAATTAAAGCAAATAATTAACGATTGAAAGCCATAACTAATTAATAGCTTTTTGATCGCTTTCCATACAGTTATACCACTTTTGCTATCATTCATACCTTGGGGCAAATGTCAGATACATTACAGAAGCGCTGTCATCACACAGACAGCACTGCCTACTGTCACCGTTAGGGGTTTCCTCAACTTCCGCACCACCGTTGACGGCACAGTCATTGTGTTCACACCCGCGTCGGCCATCCCCTCCGAAAGTGCCAAAAGTACAGCCATTTTGCCCACAATCCAAAGCACACTATCGCCACAAACTATCATTAATACAAAATCATCGGTTTTCCATCAAATATCGCCAACACATGTGCCACAAGCCATTCAGCCCACGAAGGCTTCCCAACAGTACCCGACAGGTCTGGTGACAGTCTTGGGCGGCACTGTTGTCCGCAACGGCGAGACTACGATCCACGAGACCAAAGTGATCGGCACTTACATCGATGGCAAATACGCGCAGATCCTACAGAGCACTGCCCGGGTTGAGGTACCGGTGCCGCAGACGCCAGTTATCCGGCCCACACAGACATCTAAATATAGCGGTCCATCCATTTTCGTGGAGTCGCCTCTCAAGAAGGCATACGTTATGGCCAGAGATGAGCCCAAACGAGAGGAACCAAAGGCACCAGAATTTGACGAAAATAACGGCATTCAAAGTTATAGGAAACCGGAGCCACGAAGACTTCACCCGAGACTGGCGTTGAATCCGTTGAGATCGCGATGGACTCAAAGCAATCTGCAGAAGAATGACAAGAATCAGTCGGAAGATGGTTCGCCCAAAGCTCACAAAGTAACCAAAGCACGACTCGGCACCAGACGGTTCAGTCTCCCTCCCAGAGCGTCGCCCAAAGTATGATTTCATAGCATTTCCATAATATTATTTATATTACATCCCATTTGCCGATGAATTGCAAACATTTGATTCAAAAGTTCAGGTTTTTTAGAGACAACTCTTCATTGATTTTGAAACTAATTTTCATTTTTTGGGAATAAATTTAATTAAATTGCGAATAAAATAAGAAGAAAATTGATTTATAAGAAAAATAAGGAAATTATAAAACATAATAATAAAAGTTTTTTCTCGCATTTCTATGAATCTGTTATATTCTTATAAAGTATTTTAGATAAGAATGAAAGCATTGGTTGTAATGAATAATAAATAGTTGTGTTTAAGTATATTGTGTTTCTGATGGACGCGTAGGTGTTTCAATACATATCTCTTTTGGCATTAATATAAGTTTTTCTCAACACTTGTTGTGTTTCACTACTATATGAATAGAAAAGCGAAAAACAGGTCATTAAACAATTGATTCATATAATGGAAACCTTATCTCAAATCATGCATTCATTCAATTTAATGCTTTTCTTAAATAAGCATATCTTCAGGGAATTTGTTTACATATTAAAGATAATGCAAAACATAAAAACTTTGAAACGAAATCAAAATCTGAATTTGAATAATGATTTAAAGCATAACTCATTCACATGTAGACAATAAACATTTTACACAATAAATAATTAGAATTAAATACTTTACACTAATTTCATAATAACATGTTTAATAAGGTATATAAAAGTCTCATAACAGGGTTGTAAATACAGTAACCATTCCAGTAATTTACCCGTACTTTCCCACTCAATAGTCGCAAATATTTTATTACACCAGTAGTTTATTTATAAGTTATATTTTAAAATATTAAAAACTCATTTTTAATTCAAAACAACAAAAATTTCTAAAATAATCTCAAAAACGAGTAGATTTAAGGAATATATTAAAGGAATTAATGGTCAAAAACCTTATAAATTCTGTGTTGAGAAAAATCACAAAACATTTTACTTTTATGTTAATTTACGTAATGTTGCATATATTTAGAGTGAAATTCACCCTATTTTTCATTTTCACACATAAATTCACGACATTATTCATAATGTAATTAGAAAAATGAAAACTAAAATTTATAAAATTTTCTTTTATTTGAGATATTTTATATGATTTGTATTATTTATATGTAACATAATTTTTAAAGTTTTATTTATTTTTTTTATAAATTATGAATAAATGTTGAATTATAGGTCCAAATGAATCGTTTTAAAGCCAAACTGCCGGCCACTGCCTTAGAGGAGCGACAGAGCTATAACTCTAGACTTCAGACCCGATTAGATAAACAGAAATCTGAATCATCGGAGCCTAAGGCAGATGAGGAGGAGATACAGAGTGCGGCCGAAGCTATTAGTGAGGGTGTGATTGAGGAGAGACAGGCACAGGAAGTGCTGCCATCGGAGCCAATAGATCCGTCCAAAGTGGCCACAGAAGTGCAGACAATCACAAGCGAAGTGACAAAACACGTGAACGGAAACCAGATTCAAGTGGAGACAGTGACCCTCACCACTACTATCCAACGACCACTTGATCCAGCAGAATTTGGCACCGATTTAATCGCGCCGACAGTACCCGTAGAGGCCAATGATGTGGACGTGACATCAGTCCAGGAGACACCACCTCTGGTAGTCTCGAGAACTTATTCAGTGACCGAAAGAAGTATGAGAACGACTGTTATCCCGGTGTTTGACGGGACGGTTACAAACAGCCACACGGTTACCGAAAGTTTTTTCATCAGGAAATTGATTACTGTCTATAAGACTCTTCCTCCGGGAGATATGTTCCTCTTGGAAACGGCCAGTATTTCAATGAATGACTCATTTACTGATTTATTGGCCGCCGAACAGAGCGTTCCCTCTCTATATGAAGGTTTGTATGCTTTCCCATCATTTTTCTTAGACCTCTTAATTGTTAGAGGATTATGTGATTGACATTTATATTTGAATGAATCAATGTTAGGCGCCATTGAGATAACAGAGGAGCCCGACAACGAGTTGGTGAGCGCCACAGCGGTTGCTCAGCCGGTACCTGTGCCCACACTGGACCCGAGTACTAATTTAGGCTTTATGGCCAACAACCAGTTGCCTCAGTTTGATATGAATAACCCGCTATTCCTGGCGGCCGCTCTCCAGAACCCGCAGTTGGCCGCCGTATACCTGGGTCTCCAACAACTCAAACAACAGGCCCCTCAGTATAACACCATTACTAAGCCGACCACATATGTGACCACAGATACCGTGTATAACACGAAAGTTGTCAGCTTTTACGACGGCCGGTCCACCCGTTCCCGGACTCTTGTGGAGCCGGTGGGCACTACAGAGCGAACTCTCACCACATATACGACTGAAGTAACGCCTGTCATGAATGGCAATCTGGCATTGCAACAAGCACAGTTCCACAATGTATTCGCCACTAACCTGGTTTCACAACAATTTCAAATGACCCCGCAATATAGTACAATTACCAAAACTGTAACCACACTCACTGACAGCACCAGTACCAAGACTAAAGTCTACACATTGGTCTACAATGCGTTCAGTACTCGATACCGCACAGTGACCAGTACTAGCGTTATACCCACTGTCCTCACAACTGTCATCACATCTACCGTTCCATATCAAGTGGCAAACACTGCCCAACCTTTCAATATTTTTGGATAAATCGTCTTAAAGACACGTTTTTTAATATAACTCATAAAAAGTTATATAAATTGTTTTTGAAGTAAGTTATCATTGATTAGGAACTGGTTGTTCAGCCATGCGTTTAACTGATTGATTGAAGCAATCAGTTTTTATTATGTTTTTGCGAATTCTCAAAGTAAGTTCAATTCATTTGATCTAAATATTTGCCATTACTGTAAATTGTTATATATAAATTTTTATATATTTTATATAATAGTTATCGTTTTTTGATATAAAACCGAGATTTTTTATATAATCAGAAATATTATATTTTTAAACGTTTATAAACTCATTATGAAAGTCTCATAAAATTTTTAAAAGTTTATTTTATACTTTCCTTTTTATATTGTATTGAATCACAAAATAATGCCTTTAATGATGGACCCATGACTTGAGATGAGAATCTCTTAAGATTTGTCTATTTCTCATATACTTTCTTATTATCAGAATTAATGTTTAGAAAATGAGATTACATTTAATGAAATCATAAGAATATTGTATTCTCTGAGTTGTGATAATTATTATACTTTTGTATTCTTTACAAACCATTTGTTATGCAATATTATTCTATTGTATTCATTGTTTGATACCTTATGTAAGAATTTTTTGTATTGTATGACATGTTTTGTTTTAATTGTATATTTTATTAATGATTTTGTTGTTTTGTAAATTAAAAACTTTTTAAACAAATTGATTGCCATTTAATATGATATGCAAAAGCAATGTATCATTAATGACAAGTGGATAATAGAATTAATATAATAAGCCTTGAATTATAATCAAAAAGCTTTATTTCAATTCACTTAATCCATATTAAATTTTGCAAAATATTTTCCAAAATATAAATGACTATAAAATAATAGAAACGAGTATTAAATTAATCAATTAAGTTATCTTGAGGTTAGGTTTTGCTTAAAATCTCCAGCACTTTAGAGTACACATAGAGGCCGGCATCCTTCCCAAAGATATAGTCGGTGTGACTCCAGCGCTCGTATGGCACCAAATATTCCGCCAGAAGTGGCACTAATGGGTCAATCAATGCCATAAAGTGATTATCTTTGAGTATATCTTTCTAATAAAAATTTTGTGATACCTTTGAGTTCTTGTTTGAGTTGAACTACATTTGCGAGATCTGCCAACCAGTCATTCAACGAATAGATTAATGCAATTTTGGTGGATGTGATTGATGAAAGATTGTAATTTGGAGGTGTCTTTTGGCCGTAGATTATCTTGTTTTCATACTCTCCGTAATCAAATTTGCGAAACTTTTTGCTTTCGACTAACTGTCCAAAATGGGCGACATTCCAACTGGAAGTGCCTGCGGGTGTGTGCGTGAAGTATACTCCCAATCGTGTCTATTAATCAATTATACAATACTTTCTTATTCGGATAAATATGGTATTTAAATATCAATCAAATTTAATGTCTTGATCTATTTTACATATAAAATCAATCAATTAATACCATATTTAGCTGCTGTTCATCAAAACCGGACAACAGGAACAATATATTGGAGCAAATGATTCTCATTTTAGTGTCACATAATTCTTCGGCCAAATATGTCATCAATTTGTCGGAGGGTAGAAATTTACCACCAATAAACCTGCACATATTATAATTATCTCTTTCTGTATATGTCTCCCAAATATATTACCTGAGAACATCATTGAATTCAGCAATGTATCGAATTGGTGTAATAATATCTGAGACATAAGCAACCGGTGCTAATGCTATGAATGGGTTAATTATTTGAGAAAATTCTGGCCTTGATGCTAATAGAGCGAACATAATGGCTACAATATAAAAGACATAATATTATACAATATAGATTAGTCATTAATATATAATACATGTCTTAAGCCATTTACCTGTTCCCTGAGAGTGAGCTATGTATCCGATAGAACCTAAACAAAATATTATTACCGGTAATTATAAGTTAATACTGTAAATATAGACAAATGAACTGTCTTACTTTGATTAGTAGCCTTAGTTATATATTTGATAATAGCTGGCAAATCATATTCAGACATCTCATCAAAAGTAAATCTCCAATATTTTTTCTCTGAATAACAGCAAATAAAATAAGTTTTACCGGTAATATAGAACTCAATTTAACATTTAACTCAAACTTTGTCTCAAACTAGAAAGTATTGAAAATTAAACATTTAAGTGGTTAAATGCAGTTACCGCTTGTTTTATAAATTGTATGATTTGTTGAGTATGTGTTTCCCCTTGAATTTGAAAGCCAGACATCGTATCCATGTTGTGCCAAAACAAACCCCAAATTATTGCCAACATTTTCATTAATTGTATTTAATTGATCATAAGATCCGTTCAGAAACGGACTATTAATGAGCCAATCGGTAGACGATCCCAACAGACCGTGTTGTAGGAGAAGGGGTTTAAGGGTTTGATTTGAATGTGAATATTGAGTGTTAATTATTCTATGGATTCCTAAAATATAGCCGTCTTTTGTGACCACATAATGTGTTTCTGCTTTGAAACCGCGAGAAGTGATTATCTCAACCTTTTTTAAGGACAATAATAATTAATATTAATAAATATAGAGTTTATTATTTTGTTAGTCTTTTGAAAATAAGATTTGTATGAAAGTTATGTATGAAATCTATTCATATGTTTGAGTTATTCTCAATGATAAGTAAAAGTTTTATATTGTTTGCAAGTATGCAACAGAATTGTAATTATATCAGCGATAATGATCTGTTTTGTTAGGAAAACATTGATTTACGCCAAGAATGGCAACATTTATATACAAAGTAGTGATTGAATACCGCATTGCGTTCTTCATCGGGATCTGTGGTAGTGTCGGAACAGTTGCTGTGATGATGACTGTCAGCACATAATAAATGACTGATTAATGCAAACAAAACAAATATAATGAAAAAGTTGCCCATTTTTGCTGTCAATACTGTATTATTTATTGTCATTTCATTTCATATGTAATAAAACTTTTTCGTGTAATAAAACTAGTTTTGCAGATCCTTTTAATCGCCGAGTCTATAGACCTGAAGGCTATAATCATTAGTCATGATTGATATGAAGTAGGAATTGATATATTTGTCAATCATTTACACTTCAACTTATAATTAATAAAAAATTCATATTTTTAGTGAACAAAGCCTCAAAAAACACACGAATACCTCAAATATGATTCATTTATTCTTTCAATTCTCAATCACTATATTTAAGTTTTGGTGAACGCCTTGAATAGTCACTAAATTCTTGATCTCAATTGTGTTCATATATAGAAATTAATTGGAGTTTTCAAAACATAAGTAAATATCATAAGCAAAGCAAATCAGCTTAAATTCATAAACAGTTCAAATAACATAGTTTACTGTAAACAAAACATATCATATGTTGGAGCCTCTGATAATTTACTGATAAAATATTAATTTGATTAATCAGTCGCTTAATCGACAAAACACAAGCTAAACGTACTTTAAGTACTTTTTATGCCAGTATTATATATTATATATTATTTGAATAGCGATTCAATGGAATAATAGCTGAGAACTAATGCTATTATAAAAGACAATCAAAAAACTTATCGCAATTATCTGTGAATTGTATTATGTATTAGAGGGAGAAAAGTTGAATTCAATGATTAAATTTATGAATTTTATTACTATACTGTATAGACAAAGGCTTTAAATTTTAATTGAAATTCAAGTATTTTAATGGATATCATGACTTGAATCAGGAATTATTGATGTTTTATTAATAAAAATTCATTTTTTCTGCTAATTTCATTGAAACGATACTTTCATTGTTTGCCACTATTTATGACACAATTTTTATGACCACAAAAATATTTCCTATAATTGATTAAACGTATCATAAAAACATGTTTTGCTCGAAAAATCGTTTTATTCGTTATTATTAAAGAAATCAATAAATTATTGGAAAATACAGAGAAATGAGAAATTCATAAGTATTTCAAACATTAATAGTTTTTCAGTGAATATAAACTAATGGTTCGCTTCGAAGAACTAGTTGTTTGTGAAGACAATTGAATTGAGGGGCAAATTGTAATGACATGTAATTGTATTGCTAAACATAGGTCTCTATACTAAAGCATACACTAAAATAGCACTCAAATAACAGGGAAGTGCTATCTTTGGCATGAATACAATGAGTGGTTCGGTTGGGTCGACCCAATCGATATCAACGTGTCTATAGTTTATTTGAATGTGACGTCAATTTACATGCAATTTCATGATTGCATCAAAGGTTTGCAATGTTTGCTTCATAGCATACATACAATACTTATTATGGGAATTTGTTCATTACTATTATTATTCTGTAACGTAAACTTCATTCACAATTTCAATAGACTGAGAGTGCGGGCGATTCACATGTAATACAGTATCATCCCTACAAAGATTACACTTTGTGTATTACCCTGATTACACTTTTCAAACTCACTTTCATTATATCATAGTTAGCTACTGTATGATAGCATCGGTCAAATACAATGACTAGAATTACTTATATTATTGTTTTAGATTTAGTGCTAACTCTGTGTTTAGTCAATAAAAATGTATGCATTGACTCGAGTGAACAAAATAAGGTTATAAATGCATCGGAAGACTGCCATAAGACTGGGCTCTGGAAATGTGGTCATCGTTTCATTAGAGCTCATAAATTCGTGTCCGTTATTACAAACGAAGACTCATTTGAGTCCAAATGTATCCTCAGATCTGTGAGTAAATTGATTTTTAATCGATATATTACTGTTAGAAAAGCTAAAGAGCACTTTAATTACGAGGAAAAGTATTTATGATATCAAATACAGTGTATGATTTAATACACTAATGGTTCCCGGCAGATTATTACTCACGAAAAATAGCTTACTATCAAATGAACATGCTACTGTATACTGTATAAAATTTACTAGAAATGAAAAATAAATTAATTTCAATGTCTCATGTTTCACCGCAAAGTTTTATTCAATGTTTTTATGACTGTATACCAAATGATTGATTAATAAATTTTAATTGAAATACTTTTGTAGGCATTCTTCCAGTGTATGGAAATGTGGTCCAAAGCAAAGAATTGTCACAAACTGAACACTCACTCCACAGAACACTCGCAAATGTTTCGCAAACGTCTGACCGACACGTTGTGGTCTACCAGAGGGTGTCTGACAGGACTCCCGAAACAATAGGATTTAAAAAACATAATTCATATCATTTGCAAATATCATGAAATAGTGTCATTAAATGATTGCTTGCAAGCGATGGCCAAATCTGACTCTTCACCACATTTAGTGCCAAATGTGTTAAACAAGTCATTAATTCAAAGTGTAATGAAAATATATCTCAAGTTTGGAAACACAGAATACTGTACTTTATTTACATTACAGTGAAATTCTGTATCAAAATTGCATTTTGAACTTACAGTTAGTTCTATTGTAATACAGTATTACTAATACTTGAATAATATGTTTACCGACTGTTAATGTTATACGGTAATTACTAGGTTTTTATTATTAATTTATAATTTGTTATTTACTTTTATAATTATGTTTTTAGGATATAAAAATAATTCCAATTATGTTAAATTTAATATAATTATTAAATATAATATTTACAAATATAAGAATATAATATAACAACAAATCATAACAATAATTGAATAAAATTATATACGGTATTTAACAATCTAACGTATAATACCAATGAGTACGTGGTATCATAGAAAATTAAATATAATATTTACAAATATAAGAATATAATATAACAACAAATCATAACAATAATTGAATAAAATTATATACGGTATTTAACAATCTAACGTATAATACCAATGAGTACGTGGTATCATAGAAAAGCTCCGGACAAACTGATTATCGTGCAAATTATCAAAGATAACAAACAATCAATTACTATAATAATAACTTTCAGTTAAAATTAATTCCTAAAAATACTAAATTACTGTAAATTATAAGTTTGTTCTCAAAATACAATTTATGAACAAATGTGCAAATATTGGACACAGTTTACCACTGAATAAATCCAATAGTTCTCAAATCAATATAACTTAAAAGCATTAAACATGTAACTTATCTCTCAGACAAATACATAAAGTAAAGCAATTCGTGCTCTTGTTTGCGGAATTTGGAGACAAAATTGATTTTATAAATGGTCTCAAAGTTTTCGGTGGCCATCGGTTTCGTAAGGTTTTTATTTTGCGAGCGAATCACAAGATCAGTGACCGGACTATTGACTCCAATAATACGGCGGAACTTATTATTATGTAATGACTGCTCGACGGACACGTCAAAGAAGAAGAGGAGGGGAACGGCTGAATACTTCTCACTCAACGCCACCCATTGTTTGCGGGCCGAGGGCTCGACGTTAATGTTATCGATAACACAATTCTGTCGGTTCTTTAGAGACGTTTCGCATTTCTTGTGACACCTCTCCATTGTCTTCAACTCGTCTCTCGATATATAAATGTAACCAAATTTTTGCAAATAATTCGTATAAAAGGATGACTTCCCAGAAGCGGGTAAACCGCAGAATATTATTACGTGAAGTTTCGATGAATAGTTGGCCAACAAATCGCTGATATTTCTGTACTGTTTGTCTGAACCAAATTGAGTGGCAATGAAGTTGTTGTCACACTTTTTGGGTCGAAAGACCGATATATCGAAACCACAATAACTCGTATCACTCGAGACTATCTTTGGCTTTACATCGGTTAGGAAGCGCTCGGGCGTTAGGAACGGAATTCCAGAATTGGCGGCAAAGAGTAGATCCACTGAACTGTGATCTGATCTGCCGTTCAATTGCTTCTTACGGCCGGCGGCGTCGCCCACAAAGAAACTGGTGGTCAAGTCGATGGGCTTATCGTTCAACTCATTGGCCAATAACTGCCACAAACCGGGCCGAGGCTTACGATAGATATCATCAAATGCAGCCAACATTACAAGACAGGGAACGCCGATGTCTGTGAGCGCCGACTCAAACCGGTGCTGAATATCCTCCAATTTATACCTTCCCTGAGATATCGGCAACTGATTAGATATAACCACAAAACGATATCCTCTTTCAATCAGTTTCTCGATCTTCTTCGGCAACTGTTTGTCGATTAGTCTCCAATCGTCTGAATCGATGGCAAACTTATTGCCAGATTTAGGCGTAACTAAAGTGTCGTCAAAATCAAAGGCAGCGATGGATGCGCTGTTGCGGCCGCCGCCGAGGAATTTGCAGATATGGACACGATTTGCACATAAAGACATCCATTCAGTCACTCCCGAAGACTTGGTCACATCCATAGTCTGATCCAAATCTGCGTTAAATTACAACACATTTTAGTTAACAATTAGTCACAAAATTGGACACAAATTTCACAACCATTTGACTCGTGAGTATCGGCCGAAGACTTATCATTATCTGTGATATGGAATCCATTGGTGGCATCCATTTGATCCTCGTCTTCATCGCCGGTTTGGTCGACGAAAACAATTTTATACTGAAATCCATTTCCCGATAATAACTGTCCGTTTGAGAGGTTTTGTGTTTCATGTGTTTTGCAGTCTTTGACGCAAACGTGTTGTCCATCGAAAGTGACGGTACAGTGACTTCGGGAACAAGTGATGTCTCGTATACGACATCTCCGGTTACGACCGATCGTCAGACAATCGCCGGTCCTTACGGTCTGATGAGGAATGCCTTCAACAGTGGACAACAGACGGCATATTTTGGTCATAACTGGCGACTAAACCACGGATTTCACGACAAATGTGTCAATAGTTTCACTGAATTTGTAATTCAAGTATTGAAGCAATGATTGCAATAATAGTCACGTGTTTGCAGTGTTTTCCCATCACTTGTGCACCAAATGAGCGCTCATTTCAATTGCCACTCAATGTTAAGGCAATTCTCTCGCAGACTGTTTGGTCACCATATGATCACCAGAAGTTTGGTGTCAAATATATGTCATATTCAATGTCTCAAATGGACTTATTGTTCATTAGGGTCTCATATTTATACAAATCAGTATTACTGTAATCAAGTGAAATACTATTATACATGTGACATTGCACAGGTATGCGATTCTGTATGGAAAGCCATTCAATTACGTTATATACAGTACAGGTGTGTTATAACTGATATCAATTATCTCATATTTCTAAAAGACATTTCATATATTATTAAATATGTAGTTAGAAACGGTGGCATTGCCTACAATGATTTGATTGCCTTTATTTGCATTTAACTAATCATTCAATTAATCGCTACAAGAATTTGTATATTCTCTGCAATCATATAATACTTAATAAAGTTATTATTAGTTGTCAAATAAATGCAATTTTAATATTAATATACCATTGATTACAAAATATGAATTAAATTTATTGTTTATTTAATTAATGACAAAAATAATTTTATTAAACTTTAAAATTATTTGAATACAAGAATACAAATTAAACAGAGTTTGCATTCATTTAAACATAACTTTTATAATAGTAATACTGTGTATAAAATGTTTTCCAAAAAATTCTGTCCGATATGTTAAAATAAATTGAAAAGTTAAGAAAATTAAATGAAAAGTTGTTTTCAAATGATATATAAATAGAGTTTACATTTGATTACATGTGTTGTAATCCTCTAATAAAATGAACATAAAAATTAATAACAAAATATTTACTTTTCAACTCACAATTTGTGACACAATTTGACCGATTATTGTCTTCGGTATTATTTGCGGGCATTCTGTGGCAGCTATATGTCAATACACAGAATATATTGTAAATGATTTTAATTTAAATTTTATAAACAAATATCGTTTTCCCTATAAATGCACTAAATGTACGGTTAAAGTGATCTCAAATATCACTTCTACGGTCGCTCTCTCCACCCAAATGTCTAAACAGACCACCAGTACTGTCAGTAGTAGACAGTGATTGCGCTGATGAAGGACAGAGATAATTACTGTCCGAAACTAATGATTGCAATTTTTGTCCGCAAATAATACCGAAGACAATAATCGGTCAAATTGTGTCACAAATTGTGAGTTGAAAAGTAAAAATTATTCTTATTAATAAACCTCAATTAAAAATTAATAGTTATTCATATGTGGTTTGGACTCCTGTCTCATCGCAAAGAACAGACACATCGTGAAGATTATGGACCCGACCTCTACTAGGATTAGTGCCACACATATACCACCGATAGCCCCACCCCTCACCTCAAGGAAACGACGTAACATTTCACCGCAACTCTAATAAAACGGAAATTATTATAATTAGTTTAGTAAATAGTTTATGCAATGAATTTGATGCCCACTCTTATCTGTATATTGTTAGTCCGCTCACTATTACAAGAGGCCGGTATGTCCTGTTGAACCTTCTGGTAGTCGAGGAATGTCTCAGCGCCACAACAGTCCAACTGTTAGTATTATATGAGAATAGTTTGGGTTAGAAATGAAAGGATTTAGACATTTATTGAAAATAAACCTTAAGTTGAATGAGATCTAAGAATCGGCGGGAAGTGTCATCAGTAGGTCTGCGGTCGATATGCCATTTGATTTCTCGTGATAATACGTTTTGCAGCTATAATTCATATATAAATTCATTATGAGTTTAAAATTAAAATCAATGAATGGTTAGGTATTACTCGGTCTCCACCGGCGATCTTCCACACGAGAACTGTGGCCGCGATTTGAAGGATAACTACAACTCCGGTTAAGATGAAGTACTGGATCGATAAAGTTGTTTGAATTAATTTTTATGTTTAAATTGACACATCTATTAAATATGTAATTAATAATGAATGATACTAACGGCCAGTAACATACAGGGGCTCTCCATAGCAGCCCCGAGACAACCCAGAAATCCGATGATTAAAATGAGAGCTCCGGCACACATGCATATATAGCACGCGAAGTAATATCTTTCAATGTCTAAGTTATCCGTATATTCCCAGAGACCTCCATCTCCACGAACCCAAATGGCCACTCCTAACAAAACTGCTCCCAAACTCTATACATATTAATTCATTCAATTAGAAGCCATTCTTTTAATAAAAGTTTTCATTATTTAATAATAATCTCTATAAATGTTTGTTTTTAAACAAAACAAATGCTTAAATTATTTAAGAATAGCTTAAATATAACAAAAAAAAGTTGAAAGAAATTAAAAGACAAAAATGAATATAAAACTAATGAATTGAGATACAGTTGTGCCACACCTTTGTTTGTTATATATTTAATTGGATTCAATTCTTACCCAAACTAGAAAATTGATGGCAAACAGCAGGTATTTAATACATGCGACCGCTGGATCTAATGTAGTCATTGTGTTAATATCAGATACTGTTCATAACAATTATGTTAATATTGAAACTGTTTTGAAATGAACGAAACTTTAACTACAATTAAATGGACGAAAAATATAGAGAACTGCGAGCGAAGACACTTTCTATAACGTAATGCAAGCGCCTATATCTTTAAGCAACGAGTTAATATTGAAACTGTTTTGAAATGAACGAAACTTTAACTACAATTAAATGGACGAAAAATATAGAGAACTGCGAGCGAAGACACTTTCTATAACGTAATGCAAGCGCCTATATCTTTAAGCAACGGAAATACTTGTTGAATATGTGAATAATAGCGATAAGAATGTTATGGTAGGTGTTGATGACTACCCCTACTGATAATTATTACCGTTTCTATTGTTACTTTAATCTCAATTAATCTGTTTTCAAAGTTAAACACTACTAGAAATCGCATTCATTTCGACCAATTTTTATGCAATAAAATTAAGTCATTTATCTTTCAATGAGCTTCCGGTGTATAAAAACAATAGTATTGAAAACTAATGTATAATAATTTGTTTAGAAAGATTTTAATTGTATTAATTTGTAGAAATTTGTAGAATTTATTTGAATATGTTTTGTTTAAAAATTTTTATTTCATAATATTTCTCAATTATTTGATGAGATAGTTGAGTGTTTTTCTATAATATTCAGTGTTTGATATAACATTCAAATTGTTTCAAAGTTTATGTTTGTTGTGTAGAACATGTATTATATCTATTTTATCACATCAAGAATTTGTTGTTTTGGTTACAATCAAAAAGTTATTGTGAAGTCTTTCGTGGACTATTTAAATAGTTAATAGATATATAAAGTTATGTTTATTGCACTATATATTTCACCCAATTATATTGTATAATTATTAATATACAATTAAATAAAAGTTTCTCATATAATTTCTTATAAGACTTTAATGTGATAATTGTAAATGTTTTTAATATTAAAGTAAATGTTATATTTTTTATTATTGAAATACAATGAAATTAAAATGAATGAGCATTTAAATACAAAAGTAAATTCCAGATTAAAAATTAATGGTTTTTATACAGAGATACTGCATTAGTTATACTAAAATCTATACAATAAGTTAGCCTTTCTATTAGGTTAGTAAAAGATTGTTATATAATATATAATACATTATATGTTGAGGTCATGTTTGATGTCTATATTTTTGGTTAACAATCCGTGAATTTGATTGCTATGATATTGAATCCATTGATTGTTTCGCACAAAATAGAGTAATGGAGAGAGCGATCAAAACTAATTGAATCAATGCTGAGAATAGACATAATAAACCAATTATTCCGGATCTCAACTCAAGGAATCTTCTTAGCGCTCGTCCACAGCCCTAACCATTAGAATAACAATTCATACAAACGTTAACAAAAAAATAGTTCAAAAATGTTTTGTAAATTTATAGAGCAGTAAATAATTGAATTAATTTGATAAAAAGCAAACTAATATTAGAAAGTGAAGTCATTGTAGCGCTAATTAATTCAGTGCAACGCATAGAATATATGATGGGCTGACACACCTGTTCGTTCACATATGTAGTTCCGGCCAAATAGCAAGACGTCGGGATTGTCATCCCATACCTCGCGTAGTCATTGAAGGATTGGGCGCCACAACATCTCAACTAAATTTAGTGCAATTTTCGTATTAAATTAACATTTGACAAAATACTTATAAATGACTTAAACATACCTTAACCTGAAAGAAGTCTAGGAATTTACGGGACTGGTCGTTGTATTGGGCCTGTTGTAGATTCTGTAGGATTTCCTCGTTTGCAAATATTTCCAACTAAACAAACAATTCATTTATTGTGTCAACATTTAAAGGGATTCATTTGATTATTCTTACCCTCTCTCCAAACCCATGAAATATTCCCAAAACAATGGCTGCGATTTGCATAACGAATAGACACGTGAGGACTGTGAAGAACTAGTGATAAGATTATTATAAATTAAATTTGATTATTAATTATGAATTTATTATATAAAAATACAGTAGCTAATAGACAAGAGTTTTCAGTGATCACTCCAATGAGTCCAACGAATCCGATCAAAATGATTACAAATCCAGTGATAATCATAATAAGACTGGCGTGGATCATATTATCTGTGTCTATAAACCGACTAGGCTCATATGACTTCGGATCAACTCTTAGCCAAATACCGATCCCCAGAATAGTCCACCCGAATAGCTATTTGGAAATATACAGTATGATATCTCAAATCTGTGAACATAAATATCAAATTGTAAACTGACCCATAATATAAAGTTGAGAATTATGATGGTTGTCTTGAGGAAAGACATGTGTCTATACGTGATATTAGACGGCATATGACGGTTGGGAACCACACAAACCAATTTGGGACACCTGACCACAAATACCGGGGTACTTCTCCTAGGTTTATCCGTTAATTCTTTTTCTTCAGCCAGTTTTGCTTAAAGGGTTTATCACTTACTTTTAACAAAAACTTTTTATCAATAAAACATTGTTTGAAATGTCCTGTGATTTCCTATTTTCAAATGATTAATGATTAGGTTGTCTCCAGATATGGACTAAAAATTATAACAAAAAAAGAGTAAATATAATTTTTAAAATCAAATATTCAGTGAACACAATGACTAACCGTTTTGTGTTTCAAAATAGATGACGATAGTAATAAAGTTTGAGTTAAGTATAGTTTTCGATCAGTAGACCAAAATTAATTTAATAAAATAATTATATAACTTATTAAATGATTTTGTCAAAAATAATACAAACAATGTGAATATACTGTAACTAAACGAAATTTATTAATATAATATTACTTAAGAAGTCAATTTTCGGAGTATACAATAGTCTACATCCTTGAAATTCTATTGATATTCATTAAGACTACTGTAATATAAACTACTAATAGTAAACTATAATTATAAATTATAAACTAACAATAATACTACTGTAGTATTGTTTCCAATACTACTGTATGTCAGATGTTATAGGAATAACCGAACTCTTAAAAGTTTAACTAAAAATTAATTCATTGGCATAACTAATGGAATACCAGAGAATTGATTGCTTGTGTGACTAATACTTCCTTAAAATTATAGAAAATAAAAATACAATTTGAAAACATTTCTATCATAACTGAAATGGTTTTATAATAAAACCGTAGGTTTTGTTGATAGATAACGTTCACTTAGAAACTGATTGTATTTGTCAACTAATATTTAGACTCCGATAAACATATTCTCAAGTATTTAAACTTTTATCTTTGTCACAACGCCTTTAAAAACACTTCAACACAAAGATTTAAATAAAATTTTAATTATTTTATTCAAAAGAGTTACAAATAAATTTTACAAAAACAATTATTTAAATAAAATTATAGTTTATAAATTGATTTTAAAACATTTAAAGAGTAAACAACTGATGAAATATTGGGAATTATATCACAGCACAGTATAAATAACATTCAATGATTTATTTGTAAAAATTATAAAAATGCAATAAAATTAAAATTATGATGACTTTTATCATTAAATTATTAACTGACGAAAAATTTTATATAAATTACTATATTACTATAATTTACATGAAAATTCTGGTCATAATTGTACTTAAATTCATAACACAATACAATGTTTAATAAAATGATATTTAGTTTTACCGATCGTTATATTAGTGTAATATTATATAAATAACAAACATTTAAAAATGAATGACATTTTGTTCAAATTGTTGCGATGAAAAACTTTCTCTGCTTACAAAATATTAGTTAAAATACTGACAAATATGATCTATCTATTATACAATCAATTTGATTGAGTTTGTGGTTACTTTCGTTCAAAATACTCATACAATTCTCACTCTTAATGATAATACATATTCATTAAGAGTATAGAATATACTTTAGTAAAGATTCTTTACTTCAATTCTTTGGGATTTAATCACTTTTGTTGGGATTTTGGGGTAAAATTGGAATAAATTATTGTTTTTAAAGATCTCTTGGATTAATGGATTAATTCTAATGAGTTTTCATAATTAAAATGAAGTGAAATATTGAGTCTTAAAGAGTAAATACATATAAATATTGGAGTATTTTATAAATAATTATAAAGTGATATAAAGTAAACGATTGAATGAAAAACAATTGTAAATTGAATCGATTTTGACATCAAAAAGACATTTGATATTTGAATCACAAACCAAACTAACGAAACAATCTGTGGATTCAAAAACAATACAATCAATCACTTAATGGCAATCGTTTGGAGGCTTTTGGACATTAGGAGCCCCTATAAGAGGCATGTCTTCATTCGTAGCAATACTACTACTCTCTGAAACTTTTGGCTCATTTTCTTTCGAAACAGTGCTTTCTTTATCTCTATCTCTACCGCTATTATCACTAAATGTTTTATCACTCATGAGTTCAACTCTTTCTTCGTTACAAACTATATCTTCGCAATCATTGCAATCAAAGCGATTGATTTCGTATAATTCAAAAGCAGTGGATCTCCTTTTGTTGAGAATGGTGTCCGACATCTGATGATTGATGGCTTCGCAAGAATTGGACACCAAATGAGTCATATTATCTGCTGATCTGTACTGAGAACCACTTTTACGCTCATTTATTTTGAGACGCTTTTTGTTTTCTTTGATATTTGTCTGACTGGACAGTGATCTCAAAAGTGACGGCAAGTTCTTAATCGACAACTTCTTCAGTGAGTTCTCTGACGAGACTTTTCGTGTTTTGTGTTTATTCTTGTCGGTGGAGCTGAAGTCTGTCATACTATGAGTTTTGGTGATGTTATCGGGACTGATGTCCAGTCTGTTGGGGTCTTTGATGGTTTCGCGACTGTAATGAATAGCAGTTTTGGTGCTTTGACTCGAAGGGCTTCGGCTTTGACACAAACCATCGAAATCTTCAAATGACTTATCAGTGGATGGAGTTTGAGCTTCGATTTCGATTGATGGCTGAGTTAGTAATTGTTGACTTTCATTGTCTAAACATTATATACAATTAGTACCAAGGTCTAAAACCAAATACAATAAGTACCAAGTACCAAGTACCAAATAAATAAATAAACTTATTATCCAAACCTATTCCATCCGATTTGGTGGAGATTTTAATTGTTTCATGTCTTCAAAAGAAGTCTGTTTAACGAGTTGTGCTTTTGTAGTCAACTCTTGTTTCTGCACACCTGAAGGTCCGGCACCACTACTACTGCTGGAACTGGTGGTCGGTTTGCTGGAGGAATCACTACTGAAAGATGATCGAGAGATACGACTCGTGTAAGTGGAGGTCGACGACGAGTCCTGACGAGAGCACGACATACTCGAGTCGCCCGATGAGTTAGTAATCGTTGACTTTCATTGTCTACAAATTATATACAATTAGTACCAAGGTCTAAAACCAAATACAATAAGTACCAAGTACCAAGTACCAAATAAATAAATAAACTTATTATCCAAACCTTGAGATACAATACTGTCTTGTATTGAAGTCTCTGCTGTGTCTCTGCTCTGAGTACTTAAATCAAGTTTATTGTCTCCAGCGGTGGACTCCGTGGACACAATGATCGGTTCCGGACCATCGCTGCTCTCCTCTTGACTCGCTTCTGCCAATCGATTGTAAAAACACGTAAACTTTTCCTCCAATTCTTTATTTTTGAATTTTATATTCTTTGGCGAAATATTCTGTTGCGATGAGTCCTTTCGGGAGCAGTTATGACACAAATAGCCCGTGTTTTCCATCCGATTTGGTGGAGATTTTAATTGTTTCATGTCTTCAAAAGAAGTCTGTTTAACGAGTTGTGCTTTTGTAGTCAACTCTTGTTTCTGCACACCTGAAGGTCCGGCACCACTACTACTGCTGACTGCTGGAACTGGTGGTCGGTTTGCTGGAGGAATCACTACTGAAAGATGATCGAGAGATACGACTCGTGTAAGTGGAGGTCGACGACGAGTCCTGACGAGAGCACGACATACTCGAGTCGCCCGATGTCTGCAAAAATAGTCAACATTTTATTAAATTTGTTGATAAATCCATATTAACTGAAACTAACTTTTCTGGAGATATTCCACGAGTTTCTTCGGCCGCGAGTTGTCTGAGTGATGGCCTGACGACTAGTATTTCGATTATCTTTGTCGATATTCTTCAACTGAATGTTTGCGTTACGCCAGGAGTCAGATCTCGACGAGAAGTTATCGCTTGAAATACTGGCCGCCCGTCCGACGGCCGTCCTATCCTTACCCTTCTGGCACTCATTGCTCTCATTCGTGGTTTCATTACTGAAATTTTGCAAATTATTTCTTTTATTGAAATTAAACCAATCGATTGCTCTCTGTTTCCAACTGATGGACGCCTTAAGGCTTGTTATTAATCGGATTTCTTCAATCGAAACCTTAGCATTAGATTTAAGAAAATTATTATTTCTTTCTTAAGAATGAATAAAAATACAAACTTTAGGTTTCCTTAGACCGCACTGACAGACAAGTTGTGGCAAATGATCGCTTCCGGTGCTCTTGCGCTCAATGGCAGAGTTGGAAACGGCTGGTGTGTGTCGGTTGGAGAAGTTGGATGAGTGCCGACACCGACCGATACCACGAGTCACCCGCGACTCCTCAATGCGTTTACACAACAAAACGCAATCCTTTTTGAATTGTTTGGTGAAAATCGCGTATAAGAATGGATTCGCACAGGAATTGAGGGGCAGAATGAATATTGTGAACACTTTCGCCTCTTCTAATGAGATCAGGTGTAGACCAGACACTGCCGTCAATGAGAAAAAGGCTATCGGAGCCCAACATAAGAAGTCGGTGAACACCAAGAGTGCCATTCGTTTGGCAATTCGCGAGTCGTTTGAATTCCAGGCCTTCAATAAGTTTGCAATGAATACAGAATTTCATAATTAAAGGCAAAACTCATACCTGAGATCCTCTGATCGCACAATACATCCTCAGATAACAGCCCATAAGGACGAGGAATGCGACGCCATTGATGAGGATCAAGAAGACCACATAAGTGAGGGACCAAATAGAGTCCTCCACTTCGAAGGGAAGACAAACTGCAAACTTGCGGTAATCGCTGACTCCAATCAACGGCAATATAGCCATACATATGGCAAATGTCCAGCCGATCGACATGATATACGAGGCGTGCTTTAAGGACAGGCGTTTGTTGAGATGCATGGCGTGAGTGATGGCATAATTCCTTTCCATTGTAATCACTGCCAGAGTATAGACCGACAGCTCAGAGCTGAACACACCGAAGAAGCCGGCCATTTGACAGCCCCATGAGGTCTGCCATCGAATGGCAAATATCTTAAACTCGCCTAAAGTGGAGGCATCCACTATAGCCAACACTCCCAGATAGACACCCATAAAGAAGTCAGCGATGGCCAGATTGCAGACCAGAAACCGCGGCACATCTATCTTACTTCTGCCAAATATCAACACAACCACAACCACACCATTGCCCAGAAGTGCCAACAAAAACACGATCCAAACGCCACATCTCAATGTCCACCAGTCAAACAAGTCTTTACAGGGCATGAATGGTCCTATTGGCCAGAGGTTATCATTTTATTAAAATAATTCATTTACTAAATAATAGTTAACAACAAACCCGGTTGTGGCAGACATTGAACGGGAAAACTACTGATAAGACTTTCGTCGAGAACCGCATTTGGTTTGTAATCTTCGAAATACTGTTCCGCATATTCGGCGATATTGTCGGGAATGACATAATCGCGACCAAAGTTCTTCCACAACTGATTGGCGAACTCATCAAATTTGGTGGAGAAGTTCACATACCCGGGCCACACGTCCGTCACATTCGTGTTCCAAATGTCTTCTTTGTCGAGCCATACGATGGACTCCTCCAGTGATTTGGGATTATCTGTCGGCGAATGAGTCCTTCCGATGTATGCGCAACAGTGGTAGGCGTAGGACAGGGCTAAAGTGTGGACTCTGGGAAATGTCTCGACGGGTGGGAAGTCTTTGAGGTTAGGATTGCCGTAGACTTTGATTTCAGTGATATTCTGTAGACCTTCCGTCGGAAGAATTGGAAACCTATTGTCGCCTAAGTTTCTGTTGAGTGAAGAATCGGTGAATTTGAATGAGTATTATAGTCATAAAAATATGTTCACTATTTAGAGCTTACAAATCCTTCAGAGAGACGAGTGGTAGGAATGCTTGCAAATGAATTGTTGTAATCCTATTGCGGACTAAATTTAATACTTTGAGACTCGAGAGTCCATAGAAAGCATTTTGAGGGATTTCTGTAATTAAGTTGTGGCCCATAAATAAGTCAATTAGTTTTGATTGATTGGCAAACATGGGTTCGCTTCCAAACGATTTGATGCGATTATAACTGAAATCTCTGTCAATTGGATAGAGAAAAGACATTTACGATTAGAGATGTGTTTTAAGCAATAATTGATGGAAATATTTAATAATTGGTTTCATTAGAACTCACAGTAGTTTGAGTTCATGACAACCATTGAGTTTAGCCATTGAACTGATTTTATTAGACTTAACGATTCTGTAAGAAAAATACAGTCTTTTTAAAAGCGATTCTCGTTTGAAGAGTAATAATTAATGTGAAATCTAAATACAGGCTTTTGAGATGAGGTGTCTGTTGACAGAGAGTGTCGCCGATTACTCTCAACTCTCCCCTATCTATCTTCAAGTGCTCCAAAGTTGTCGTTCCGGAAAAGTTTGGCAAAACATCTAATTTACTCAATTCAGAGAGAGTTCTGAACGAAATATAATCAATAATTAGTCACTCATATACTAATATTATTTCATTTTATACAAAATAATAACTATTACAATATTTATATAACATTTTTTAGATGTTTGCTAAAATTTCCAGTAAATATTCATAGAGTTATAAACAGTGATCGTAAATACGGTATACTTTGTAATGCAAGACATTTATTCTGTAACTAGAATTTGTGGTTTCTCTTCAAATCAGTGCCTATTTTTGACTTTTAGGAAAACATTAAACTATATAACTATATAACTACTCACATAAAATCTGTCATATTCTGGTATGATTGACATTTAAATCTATTAACAAAATTAAAAGCTAAATGGGTTTCACAAAAAGTAGAGTGAAACTTGTTTTTATTTTTTGTGAAGTTGTCATTAATTTGCATCGATAATAATAGGCAAACCATTATTATACTAATATTAATAAAATTATAAATAAAAAATTATATTTTTATTATTATATAAATCATAATTGTTAATAAAATTTGTTGATAATATAACAAAAATTAACTGAAGTTTAATAATTAAATTGCCAAAATTGAAATTCAGAGTTTGTGGGCACAATAAATGCCAAATTG